ATCCTAAAGCCGCATAAAATCATATCCAAAAATATGCTGGGAGAGGAACATTAACACTTCCATATTAACACAACTCAATACATTTGGCTAAAGCATAAACCAAGGTTATCCAACCAACCAAAATCAAAACACAAGTTCCTCAATCCAAGCAATAACAAATCATATTAAACAAGAAAGATAAACAATGAAATTGTAATTCAAAGCTACCTTTTACTACTTGTCCAATTTGGTCACCTCAAGGGATAATGATCCTTCTTGACTCTTCCTCCCAAAGCCTATTAAACAAGCATAAATATAGGCTACATTAACCATTAAACAACACAACACAAAACTTTAACTTTGACCAAACATTTTCCCACCTTTTTCTTTATTTTTAACAAAATGATTCCTCCTTTAGAATCAATAACCTCGTGACTCATTCCTACACAATCATGAGAAATCTAAATATGAAATCAGAGGTTTAGAAATCAAACTTCTTCCCCTTCAAGTTGAGTTGGCCAAACAGGGTATATACTCCTAAAAATTTCATTTTTGATTCTAATGATTTTAAACACTTCCCCATAGTGTATCCCTACACAAAAATATATTTTAAACCCCTTGGAATCATCAAATCAATGCAAAACAAATTCCTCCAACATGAGCCACCCTTGGCTGAATTAAACATATAGAACCCTAGGTGTATTTTCTTCCAAAAATTAATCCATACACCACTTAATCATGCTTATTCCACTTGATTTTTAAGGTTTCTGTCCTTCCCTAAACATCACATGATCCAGCAAAATTTTGGCAGCACCAAAACTTGAAATATTTAAGCCAAAACCCTTACTAACCAAGCTTGAAACTTAGGGATAGGGATGCTTAAACATACCTTGATGTCTTCCTAGTAAAACTTGATGATTTCTTGCTCAAAAACCTCTAAGTTTTCAGTCTCTCTTGGTTTGGAATTATACGGCAGCACCTCCCCTTTTTTTTTTTTTTTTCCAATTTTCCAACTTTTTCTGTATTTTAGGGAGGGGTATTTATAGGCAAATAAATTGCCATTTTTCTCTGAATTTTGGATGCATAAAATGGCAAAAAATGAACTGACTTGGCAGCCATCAAGTGTCTCATAGCTTCAGATCTAACCATGTGTCCAAACTCTAGAGTTTCCAATATTTATCCCTTAATTTTGTATTTTATTTAATTAAATGTGGAGCTGCCCAGAAGCTGCATGAATTTGGGCTTGCATTAGACCTAATGTGGGCCCTATAAATAGTCTAGGCTGGCCCAAAAAGATGGCCCACAATCCAAATCAAAATCCCAAACCAATTTAAAATTTTATCGGTTATTGTTCACAAGTGATATTTTGTAATTTTTCTAGGCCTCTAAAAATTCATTTCTCTTGATGATAATTTAGCTTTTGATATGAAAATTTGATCTGGAAATTTTCAGAATTTTTTTCCACCTCGAGGTATTTATTTTGAATTTTCTCCAATTAGGCCTCTATTAGTGTTACTGTGAGAAAATAAATTCCGAAAATAAATTCCTAAGCTTCCAAGACCTAAAAATAATTTTATAAATTCAAATAAATATTTAGATGATTTATCCACATTGTTTCCAAATTTATTGAGGCCTCTACCTAATTAAAATAATCATTTTCCTTTAATTTCCTACTAATTTCTCGAAAAACCTCCATTTATGGGAAATTCCGTAAAAAAATTTCTTCACCATAATTTCACCTTTCGAGCCTCAACTGAGTTTCTAAATCTCTAATTTATAAGGAATTTTCTAGAATTTTTCTCAAATTTTCCCGTTTTGCTCTTCCTAAACTGATAATTATGAAAATGCTAGCACAAGCCTTATGGGGGTTTCACCTCAAAAATTGTTTCATCTCCTTATCTAGTTTCTATATTGGTCCCTATCCCAATTTTTAATCCCTTGTAACCAGGTAAAATTTTTTTGGGATGTGACGGAGATTCTAAGAGAAATATGAGAAAAAAGATTGGCAAGGAAAAAGAATTATCATAAGAATGAACCCTAAATTACGTGAAATAGATGTAAAATACAAAATAAAAATTATAAAATGTAACTTTATGACATTTGCACGCCTAAAACATAAAAAAAAAAACTCTTCACAAGTCATAAAGATCTATTTATCATGCTTCATGCAATTAATTTTTGACATAAAATTTAGTATGTGTAATATTATTTGCAAACTATAGCAATTATGTCACACCCCTTCAAGATCCCATTATACGTCCATTGAAACCATTAGAATGTGTTTTGCAATGTTTCCGGATGAAAATTTTCAGTTTCAAAATTTCACCTTTAATTCTGTCCATACATTTTTCATCCGAATTTGGAACAACTTTGAAAATTCATAACTAATTCTAAAAAAATCAAAACGAGTTAGTTATAATTTTCACATGAAGCTTGCTAAGATATCTATAGAATAAAAATATTCATTGGACTTAATTCCATCCATAGAAGCACCAAAAAATTCAACAAACTGTACTGTTTATTTGGTCAATTTTCTAATTTTCAGTATTTTTGTCCAATTTTGGAAGGGCATAACTATTAGCACAAAACTCCGATTTTGATGGTTTACCACTTGATTTAAAGATAAAAATGAGATCTATAATTTTGTAAAATATCATGCCCAAATTCCAATAATTGCTCATTATTTTATGTGTCACACGTTTAGCCTCTTTTAGGGCATTTCTTATCCCTTGACTTCATTTTCTTAAATTCTTGTCCCTTTTTCCTCCATCCACATTCTTTTGACATTATACTATTCAAATTTCCAACACTAGGGCATGTCATATAAACATAATTTACATCATATTAACATTAAAAATTAACATCAAACACATTAAAACATTACATAACTTTCCAAAATGTCATGAATTCCCTATTGCTCCTTCATCCCAAAACCATTTCTTTGCCCTTGCCATCGGATGAATCATTCCCTAATTGAGACATAATTTAACATAGGGGAATGAGATTTCATGGAAATCTCAATAGCATTTGAATTATAATTATCATGCTAATCAAGCAAGTTATCATGTGACATGTTATCACATCTCAAGACACAAGCAAGCCACATAAAATCATGCTTAATGTCATACTAAAAGAGAAACATCAACACTGGCACAATGGTATAATTCAATGCATTTGATCAAAGCATAAACCAAGGTTATTCATCCAATCCATGCCACAACACAAGTTCCTCCATCCAAATAAATAACAAATCACATTAAACGAGTAAGATTAACAATTAAATTATAATTCAAAGCCACCTTTTTTACCACTTGTCCACTAGGTTACTTCAGGGGACAAAGCTTCTCCTTGGTTCCTCCTCATAATGCCTATTAAACCAAGCATAAACATAGGTCACATTAATTACCAAACAACTTAATTATAATTTTTGAACTTTAACTTAATAATTTTCCCCCCTTTTACTCTGATTTTTAACAAAGTGATTCCTCCTTTAGAATCAATAATCTCATTACTCATTCTTACACAATTTTTCATGATAAATCCAAATATACAATCAATTTTTGAAATTCACACTCCGTCCCCATGAATTCACCTTGGCTGAATAGGGGGTTTTTATTTCCAAAAATTCCATTTTTTATTCCAATGATTTTAAACAACTTCCAACAACATATCCCTACACAAAAACATGTTTTGAAGCCATTGGAAGCATCAACTCAAGCCAAAACAATCAGCTCCTTAATGAACAGTGACAGGCCGAATTGAAGCTCTAAAACCCTAGGTGGATTTCTTCCAAAAATCAATCCATACACTATTTAATCTTGCTTATTCCACTTGATTATTAAGGTTTCTATCCTTCCCTAAGCATCACATGGCTGAACCGAAATTTATAGCATTTTTCCATGATTTTTTCAAGCCAAAATCCTAATCTAGCTAATGTAAAACTTAGTGATAGTGATGCTTAGACATACCTTAATGTTTCCTTAGTGTAAGTTGGCTGATTCCTTGCCTAAAACACTTGAAATCCATTTGCCCTCCTCCCTCCTGATTTGGCTGAACTAGGACACCTCAAGGGGTGGATGTGCCAGTCATCAAGTGTCAAAATAATCAGATCATCCCAAGTGGCCTTAATCTAGATTATTCCAACATTTGTCTCTTAATTTTCCATTTATTTTAATAAAATAGAGGGACTTGGAAGCTGCACGAAATTGGGCCCTTATTGGGCTCAATGTGGGTCCCACAATTGATTTGGGCTGGTCCACATACCAAATCACTATCTCAAATTAATTTGAAACTTTATCGGTTATTATTTACTAGTAACATTCCATAATTTTTCCAGACCTCAAAAAATTGATTTCTCTCTATGATAATTTACCTTTTAATATGAGAGCATGATTTGCAGATATTCAAAAAATTTTGCCACTTCTAGGTATTTATTTTGAATTTCTCTGATTAGGCCTCTATCGGTAAATTTGAGAGAAAATAAATCCCCTAAAATTACTTCCTGAGCTTCCAAGGCCTAAAATCAATTTTATAAATTCAAAAAAAATATTCAAATGAATTATCCATCTTTCTTTGAAATTTATTGAGGCCTTTAGCTACTTAAAATAATTATTTTCCTTTAATTTCCTAATAATTTCATGAAAAACCTCTTTTTACGAGAAATTCCGTAATAATTTGCTTTCACCAAAATTTCACCTTTCAGGCCTCAACCAAGTTTCCAAAACTTTCAATTTATAATTTTCCTTTTTTCAGGAATTTTTTAGAATTTTTCTCAAATTTTTCCATTTTGCCCTTCCTAGACCGATAATTATGAAAATGCTAGCCCGGACCTTATTGGGGTTTCACATCAAAATTTGTTTTATCTCCCCGTCTAGTTCCTATATTGAACCTCATCCTAGTTTTTAATCCTTTATAGCCAGGTGAAAATTTTTGGGATGTGACAATTCCTCCCCCTTTTAAATAAATTTCGTCCTCGAAATTTAAAAACATACCTTAATTAAACAATTTTGGATAGCTGGCCTTCATGTCTCCTCTTTTTCCCACGTAGCTTCTTCTTGGGTTAGATCCCTCCAGATGACTTTAACCATCGGAATAGTCTTATCCCGCGGCTGCTTAATCTGCGAATCTATCATTTTCACTAGTTTCACCTCAAAGGTGAGGTTATCTTGCAGCTCTATGTCTTCATGTTTCAAGACATGTGAGGGATCTGGCTGATACTTTTGCAACTGAGAAATATGAAAGACATCATGAATTTGGCTCGGATTAGGGGATAAGGCGAATTTGTAAGCTACCGAGCTAACTCTTGACAAGATTTGGAAGGGTCCGATAAACTTCGGCGTTAATTTATGGGCCTTGATCGATCTTCCTACACCCATAGTTCGAGAAACTTTCAAAAAAACATGATCTCCAACTTTGAACTCCAGAGGACTTTTTCGTATGTCAACATAACTCTTCTGTCTACTTTGTGCCTTAAGCAGCCTTTGTCGGATCATCTTTTTCTATTATGAGGTTTGCTCTACCAAGTCGGGACCAAATATCTTCCTTGCTCCCAATTCAGTCCAACATAACAGGATCTATATTTCCTCCGTTAAAGCTTCATAAGGAGCCATTTGGATTTGGAATGGTAACTGTCATTATAAGCAAACTCTGCTAGTGGTAAGTATTCATCCCAGTTCCCTTTGAAATCTAGGGCACAAGCTCTTAGCATATCCTCTAACATTTGAATAGTATGTTCTATCTGCCCGTTAGTTTGAGCATGATAAGCTGTACTGAAACTCAACTTAGTGTCCATGGCTTTCTATAATGCTTTCCAAAATCTAGAGAGAAATATCAGGCCCCTATCTGAGACAATCGTTTCAGGTACTCCATGCAGCCTCACAATTTCCCGGATGTATATCCGCGCCAACTTTTCTAGTTGGTATTCTTTCTTGATGGCCAAGAAATGAGCTGACTTCATCAGGCGATCTATAATCACCCATATAGTGTCGTAACCTGATGATGTACGAGGTAGTCCCATTATAAAGTCTATGGAAATGCTTTTCCATTTCCATTCCAGAATACTTAATGGTTGTAGGGATCTTGACAGCTTTTGGTGCTCCGTCTTTACTTTCTAACATGAGAGGCACTTTGACACATAGTCCGTCACATCTTTCTTCATACCAGGCCACCAGAACAATTCTTTAAGATCTCAATACATCTTGGTCATGCCTGGATGTATGGTGTACTGACTCTTATGTGCCTTCTCTGAGATTTGCTTTTTAACTTCTGAATTCGAGGGAATGTAAGTTCTTCCTTCATATTTTAGGATCCCTTTTTGAGTTATCTTGAGGTCCCTTGTCTCATTTCTTAGCACTTTGGCTTTGAAGATGTCGGCCAGTTAGTCTCTCTGTTTGGCCTTTTTGTTTGTTCAGTGATTTGTGTTTCCATTTTTACGATACTAATCTAGCCCGCCATTAGCCATATTTGGCCAATGAGATCCCAATCTTGGATATTCTCGATCAACTCTTGTTCCTTTATCCTCAATGACGCCACCTACACCATCTTTTGGCTTAACACATCTACTACCACATTGGCTTTCCCTGGATGCTATTTAATTTGATAATCGTAATCCTTGAGCAATTCCATCTATCTCCTCTATCTCATGTTGAGTTCTTTCTGGTCTTACAGGTACTTGAGGCTCTTATGATCATAGTACAATTCAATAGTTGCCCCATACGAGTAATGCCTCCAGATCTTCAAGGCATAAACAATCACTGCTAGGTCAAGATCATGAGTGGGATAGTTCTCCTCATGAGTCTTTAATTGTCGTGAGGCATAAGTGACCACTTAACCTTGTTGCATCAGCACACATCCTAATCCTTAATTACTCGTATCTGTATACACCACAACATATGGTAATGTAGGATTGAGTATTTAATTTGATAATTGTAATCCTTGAGCAATTCCATCTATCTCCTCTATCTCATGTTGAGTTCTTTTTGGTCTTACAGGTACTTGAGGCTCTTATGATCACAGTACAATTCAATAGTTTCCCCATACAAGTAATGCCTCCAGATCTTCAAGGCATAAACAATCGCTGCTAGCTCAAGATCATGAGTGGGACAGTTCTCCTCATGAGTCTTTAATTGTCATGAGGCATAAGCGACCACTCGACCTTGCTACATCAACACACATCCTAATTCTTACTTACTCGTATCTGTATACACCACAACATATGGAAATGTAGGATTGGGAATTATCAGTACAGGAGTCGAGGTCAACTTTTGCTTTAACTCCTGGAAGCTGGCCTCACACTTAGCATCCCAATTGAATAGTTGATTTTTTCGAGTAAGCTTGGTTAGTGGTAGGACAATCTATGAAAAATCTCACATAAACCTCCAATAGTACCCTACCAATCCCAGAAAACTCTTCACCTTATTTACCATCTTGGGCTGTTCCCAATCAATACGGCCTCTACCTTACTTGGGTCTACTACTACCCCATCTCGGGTAGTCACGTGACCCAAGAATTTTACTTCATTTAGCCAGAATTCACATTTTCTTAACTTAAGATACAGTTGCTTTTCCTGTAACATGCCTAATACAATCCACAAATGCCGTTCATGTTCCTCTGGTGATTTAGAATACACCAGGATGTCATCGATGAATACCACTACAAATTGATCCAAATATGGCTGGAAGATCCTATTCATGTAGTTCATGAATATAGCAGGTGCATTCATCAAACCAAACGGCATCACCAAAAATTTGTAATGCCCATATCTTGTTTGAAAGGCCATCTTTGGGATATCTTTTACCTTAATCCTCAACTAATGGTATCCCGATCTCAAATCGATCTTTGAGAATACAGTGGCTCCTACCAAAAGATCTAGCAAATCATCAATTCATAGCAATGGATACTTATTCTTAATCATTACTTTATTCAGCTCACGGTAGTCTATACATAACCATAAGCTACTGTCCGTCTTTTTCACAAATAAAACTAGTGCACCCCATGTAGATACACTGGGGCATATGAACCATTTCTCCAAGAGCTTCTCCAGTTGTTTCTTCAGCTCTTCCATCTCATTCAGAGCCATCCGATATGGAGCCTTTGAAATTGGGTTCGTTCTGGGCATTAGATCAACAACAAATTCTATCTCCCTTTCAGGCAGTAATCTACTGATTTCTGTTAGAAATACCTTAGGGAGTTCCCAGACTACCGGGATATCTGAAATCCCTTCTTCTATTTCTGCTTTTACCAAGAAGAATACCATATAACCCTAGCAAACCTGTCTCAACCATTTATTCACTCGAGCTGCTGAAATCATGTTCAACTTCACTTCTGCCGTAGGGGTTGACTCCAAAGTAGGAAGGATCAATGTTTTGTTTTTATAGTCAAGGAGAACATTTTGGGAGGGCAACCAATTTAAACCAAGAATAACATCAATATCATAGAAAGGCATGCATATCAAGTCTAACATAGTGCAATAGTGGGTGTACTGGATAATATGATTTAAACAAATAGTAGAAGTTATAATTTTTGTTCCGATAGGAGTGAAAACACACAAATCATATAGCAATATGTCGATAGTAAGACCTAAGTGCCTAGTGTAATCATACGATATAAACAAGTCACTGGTACTTGAGTCAAACAAAGCATCCACAAGGTAGCCATTCACATTAACCGTACCTTGGATCATCTCGAGTGACTTACGAGCCTCTTCCCAACTGAGGACGAACACCCTGTCCTGTGCTTGAGGTCTTCTCATGCTATCGGCACCTTACGGGCACTCCCTAGCAAAATGTCTGGGTCATCCGCACCTGAAGCACATACTCTGACCTATCATGCACCGCGTATCTCTGTGATTGCGACCATAATGCTCGCATTCCCTTTCTTGGCAAACATTCTCCGCTATGCAGCAGACATTTTCTACGCCTCCTCGTCGTGCTCCTCGCCCTGACTTCTTGTTCTAGTTGAATCTCCTCCTTTTCCAGCTACCACTAAAGGAGGAACCTTCCTGACCCGTTCTCGCCCCTGGCTTTTTGGCTTGCGAGGTTGCTTTACCTAGCTCAGCATGATTCTGGATATTCTCAGTGATACGGCAGACTTCCACTACCTTATTAAAAACTTCTAGCTGTCTTAGGGCTACCTTTTCTCTCAACTCAGGCTTCAACCCCTTGATCATCTTCTCTGTGAACCATCGTTCATCATTTATGTGTTAGAGATAGGTAGAGTACCTGGATAACTTAATGTACTTTGCTAGATACTCATCAAAAGGTTTATTCACAGCTTGTTTTATGTTGAGGAACTCTGCTTCTTTCTCATCCCTCAAAGATCGGGGAAAGTACTTTAGGAAAAATTTGTCCTTGAACACTTCCCATATGACTGGGGTTTCATTGGCCTGAAGGACCAACTCGATATTCTTCCACCATCTATCTGCTTCCCCTTCCAACTTATATATTACTATATGAGCCTTCCTTTGAGACGGACATTCCAAGTTTCTAGCTGGGTTGTCTACTCCTGGACTACTTGCACATCAAAGGTTCCCTCGAAAGCAAGAGGGTTGTGTTTACCGAACTTGACAATCCACTGTTGCAGCGTATCAGGTTCTGCAGTAGTTGGGGTCTCACAGGAGCAGTTTCCTGCAGTTGCTCTAGTGGTATGGGCTAGGCTGTCCTGACTATTCCTTGCCCGGGTTGCTGTAACCGTGCCAATACTGCTGCTACTGTTGTAGCTATAATAACATCCCTCTCTTGCTCCTGCCTAACTTGTGTGGCTTGTATCTTAGCCATATTCCTTTGTTGTTCCTCCAACCTTTTAATTATCCACTCAATCATATTAACAGGGGTTATTGATGACTCTCCTCTTGTACCAGATCTCCTACCTCTTGATCCTCGTCTTCCTCTTACTATTTTGTTATTTTCGTCTCAACTACAAGAGGAAGAGAATCATTAATTTACATAAATGATATTTATATTACCTTTTTAGTTTATATATACATAAGCACAGTTAGCAAAAAGTAAGGTCACAGCCTATCACAGTTAGTATAGTATACAGTCATCCTGTATTTATGGCATGAAAGCAGAAAAAGGGAAAGTAATGGTAACAAAGATCTCTAGGTTATCTAGCAACTGATGGAAAGTACAGGACACAGTGCAGCCATAAATCTTCTGGATCTCATCCTACCAAACTCTAATTCTTGGTAGAATCTCCATTAGTGCTCAACTCCAAAGAGTATCATCAGTATTCAGATTGTCCTCAATTACTTCATTGTACAATAATCTCACATAAAGGAGAAAATCCAAATAGGTAATATCATACTGATTATGGGTCCGGTCTATATTCCTTTCCAGCTCTCTTAGCTCCTTTAGGATGCTATTGTAGTCTCTAAACT